CGCCCGGGCTGGCCGCCGGGCTCGGTGAGTGGCCGCGGGCGGGCGCGGCAGGAGCGAGCGGGAGGTGCGGGCGCGCCCGGCAGAGGCCAGGCCCGGAGCCAGCAAAGACCTGCGCCCCGCGGGAGCCGCTGCTTTTGCCCTTGGTCGCCTTTTCACTCCTCCCCAGTCAGCTTCCCATCCCCGCGACCCCCTGCTCACATCCCAGATCCCAAGCGCCGCTGTCCCCTGCCCGGCCTCACCTCCTGCAGGAGGCGAGAGGCCGAGTTAGTACTCCCAGTGCCCGTCTTCAGGGCTTTTGAAGAGCGGAGTGACTTCCTCCCACGGGGAGACTCTTCCCAGGGGCCTCAGAGGATTAAGGGGGGCGTCCCCCAGCGCTACGAGTGCCCAGCCCGCGGAAATGGACGCCAGGCCTCCAGTCCTGGGGCGCCGGCCCTCACCGCTCGTGGTCCTCAGGTCTGCCTTGGGATGGGTGACAGCGTGCCCAGAGGGGCTCCCTGGTTCCCTTCTCCGGGGACCTGACTTTCCTCTGCTGGCAATTGACTTTAGGCCCAGCAGGGAGTGTTCGGTTGCCAGGGGTTTGGACATTCGTTTTCCTCCATGCTTCGGCGCTCAGACAGTAGGTTCCTCTCCACTGGAGGCAGGGAGCTGAGGTCACAAAGCCAGAAGTTTGATGGGTGGGAGCTGAACATGCTTCAGAACTTCGCTCCCCAACTCTCGTTTGTCCTCCTCATTCCCTGCCCCCCTTCCCCCCAAATCAGGAAAAGCCCATATTACTCTATTTCCCAAACAGCTGTCCCCTTTTCCTCCCCAGTTTTCCTGCATTGCTTCCTCTCCTTATTTCTCTTGGGGCACCGTCTCCCAAGATTGCTTCTGCCATGCGGGAGCAGTGTCCTGGGCCCGACTTTGCACAGTCAAGCGGAAAAGCCGGGCAGGCAGAAAGCTAGGACATTCACTCTCGTCTGGGCCCTCGACCCCCTGTCACCCCTGCGCCCCACCGCCCCACCTCACCTCTGCCTCAGACACGCGAGCCCCCAAAGAGGCCCTGCCAACTCCTGCGTCTAGATCCCGCTTCCTTGGGAAGACGGCCATACCCGAGGCATCTGCTCTCCTAACCACCGCCTCACCTCCAACTTCACAGCCTCAGATGGGCGAATCCACCTATTGTCCACGCCACCCAGGGCCTCCCTGGGAAGGGGGAGGGTTGGAATAGCCGTCGTCGTCCGAGCTCTCGACTGTTTCCCCAGGGGTCCGGGCGTCGGAGCCGGGGAGCCACAGAGAATCCCTGATTTCCAGAAGGCACTCAGGGACTGTTTGCAGAGTCCCGGAGCGAAGGCCAGAGCTGGGAGTGACGGGAATGGCCGGCTCCAGTCACTTCTCTGCCCTCCCCGCACCGTCGAGCCAGGCCGTCTGGGCCTTCCTGGGGACCGCTGGGGCTCCCCCGAGGTGCGGGGCGCGCGGCCAGGCCGGGGCGCCTCTTTTGCGTCAGAGCTGCCAGCAGATGCCGGCGGCCCACAGCACACTCGCCCGCCTTGCCCGGGAGATGCAACAACTTGAAGGAGTATTTGTTAGGGGAACAGCATCAACAAAAAGTTATTAATGTCAAGTAATTCTCTCCAGAATCATGTGTTATGGAACATTAAAGGTCACAAAAATTCCTCTGACTGAATGAGATTTCTTAACAGGAGGAGGGAAGGAGCTCTCAACACTTTCTGCACAGATTTGCCTAAACCTTAAAGCCCAGTGATTTACAATGGCTAATTTGTGTTACAACCCACAAGAAACTTTTTTTCCCACTCTACTGCCCAACTCCATGGCCATATTTTTTTGGTGTGTGGCTTTTTCTTTTTCTTTTTCTTTTTTTGGTGTGTGGCTTTTTCTTTTTCTTTCTTTTTTTTTTTTTAACAACAAACCCAGAGGGAACGCTGGTGGAAGTAAAAATATATAACCCAAATAAAAAAAGACGCAGATTCAAATGTACTCCACAGCGAGGTTTCCTACTGCCGTCGTTCGGGACACCGAGAGTTAATCGTATACAATTCATAACAATCAAAATCCTCTCCATATCGCTCAGATGCGGTCCTAATGCTCCCCTGTCTTTCTGAAATCGGTGACAAGTACGTCATTGCGGGGCATTTATTTTCTTTTTTCTAGATGACAGCTCCCCATTCTGAGAGCCGAGAGCTGTTCGCCGCCAACTACACACCACTCCAGAGCCCAAGCGCTTCACGCACAAACAGCATGTGGAAGTCCCACCCCCACCCCCAACCCAGACAAAGAGCCATAAAACTCAGAAAGACGTGGAAGGAATAAACTTTAAGATGTATATGCACTTTTACTGGTGTATTAAATAACATTTCAGCCTTTTATAGAAAAAAGAAAGAAAAAGAAAAAGAAAGAAATACATCTTAATGTTACCAACAATCAGAGTTCTAGGAACAATAAGGGAGGCCAGGGTTGTTTAGATGGGGTATGATACTGTGTTTAAAACCTCTAACAGCTAAGCCAAGCAGAGGTGCTATTAAGGTAAAGGAAATGTACTACATGATGAAATGAATTAACTTTTTCTAAAGAAGGAAACAAATTTCCTAGCTTTCCACCAAACACCACCAGAACAATGTGAAAATATTTTGATTGTTTCTTTATCTCCGTAACCAAGCAAAGCCTTAAAGAAAACTAAGCCATTTTCTGGCATTCTCATGCCTGCCTGCAGATAAGGGGGCATTGAAATAACAATTGCCCAAGTTCTGCATACATGAGCCAGTTGATTCCATGATTTGCTAGCTGGGTGGCAGGCCCCTGACACTTTAGTATTGTTTCCCATCCAGAACCAGATAGAGTGAATGGGTAGCAGAAGCCCTGGTTCTTTCCTACCACTATCTGTCTCCTGCTAAAAGACTGCCTCATTGAAAAAGTAAACTTTCCTAAAAACTTATCTGTACATCCTATTTAGTCATATTGTCAAGAGTCATAGTGCCTCAGGTGCAGCTTTTTCTTTCATTTTAAATAAACACTGTCCCTTTGCCTTACTCACTGACATATACAAGCAAACCCAAAGAAACACTTTTACCTTTGACCCTCACGTCATCATCCTTCTTTCTTTTTCTGTCCAAGCTCTGTTCTTTGCCTCATTCTTTAACTTGTGTAGGAATTCAATAGAATCTAGAACAGAGTTCTAGGAACTGACTGAAAAATCAACAAAGAGATAATCACACCCCACTCCCCAGAACTACCCAAACTGCTTCCATAATAAGGCAAATGCAAGGCAAATGAATGCAGCATATAGACACACTGTGCAGGTACCAATGCACCCAAATGCCATTTCTCCCCTATTATTGCTGTTGCATCTCTTTATTAGTTGTATTTGGAAAAATAAGATAGAAAAATGAGTGCCTTTATCAAAGCCATTTCACCAGAAAATTTTGCCAACCAGTGTGTGGCCCCCATTGGTAGGAGCAGGAGGGGAAAGGGAAGAAAAGAGTGCTTTTGTTGCTGCCATCTGAAATATAAAGGAGATTACTTCGTGGGAACTGAGAATGTTTAGAAGTGCCAAGCATAATATTATTTGTGGCCATTCCCTCTATCTGACCTTTACATAACTCGTTCCCACATGATTGTTTCTCCCTCATCTTATACTATAAATTTAAAAAGTGGCATATTTAAAGAAAACACAGGAGCTCTTTCAGGATGGCCATATTCTGCATTGTTATTGTCTTTCGAGAAAATAAAGGGTTTTTTTTGTTGTTGTTGTGGCTAGCCAACATTTTAAGGATAGCTGCTGCAAAAATTTCTCCCAGTGGCAATGGTAACGTTTTGCACCTTAAGTGTGTAACTAATTCCTAAACTGGTGTGGAAACTATCTTGAGTAGCCTTAGGATCCGAATGGTAAGCATGGGTCAAAACCACAGTGTGTCTGTTTAACATGAGATAGTTTCCAGTCAGTGGCCCCTATGGCTAAGAACAAAAATGCCTTCTCAAGGTCCACTAAAATGCCCTGCAGAGGGCAGATGCTGCTTGTTTTCTGCCTTTGGTGGAGAAGGATATTGACCCCAAACTCAAATCTATACCCAGCTTAAACATTTTACCCATCAGCATGTCTGTGGTCACAAAACACTTCTTCTTTCTGTCACTTCTCGTTCAGACTATTGATAAGATCATTTGGCTGAATCTGTTTGGGACCCATGTAATATCGACTAGGAGTTAGAAAAGATGATCAGATGTAATAAGCCCAGAAACTACCCCTCAAAAGGGACATTTATATTTAAACAGATGTTCCAAGGAGGACTTTACATCAGCAAACTTGTAAACTAACCCAACACTGCTTGGAATTCTCACTAACTTTAAAACTGATTTTGGTAAATGTAGTGTTCTGTCTAAGACTGTGTGAAAAAATCTGTTATTAGCCTTACGGCTCCAGTCTCTCCTATGTGTTTTTCTTTTCTTTTCTTGTTTTAGAGCCCGTTTGTCTGCCTGATGAGAAATAGACACTATTGTACAAACCATTGCAAAATCCATCTTTTTTCTGTTAACCTAACAGTAATATTATATAGGATCTACCTCTAATCATTTGGTAAACACACTTATAGCATATTATCAGGGTTACTCTTTGTTGAAAGATATTTGTTAATTATTAAGAAGAATAATCCCCTAACTAAGCCCTGCTTTTCTGCAGATCCCAAATTACGTGAGGACATGTGGGTAGAGATTAAAGTCCACCTAGTTCCATTGACACTCTCCAAAACAGCACAATTTGATGAGGTACAGTTAACCTGGAAAGAAAATGCAGGGATATCTGCATACGTTTAAAAGGGGCAAACATCTCTTTGTCAGACCCTGAAATGGGAAACAAATTATAGCTCAAATCCAAAGACCACTTAAATTTAATGCTGTATGCATAGTGACTGAAAGATTTGGGGATGATCATTTTTGAAAAAAAAAAAAGTGATTCAGAACAGTAGTCTCCAGTTCTTAAAAAAAAAAAAAAAAAACCTCTGAAAGTTATCAACATGAAACCTGGCAGGATATGCATAAAATTTATTCCAAACTTTATGAAGTATAAAGGAAGGGAAGTGTTTCACACACAACTCAACTCAGTATTAGGTCTACGGTTTCTTCCCCCTTAAAAGTTGGCACTATCTTTAAAAATAAAATAAAGATATTTCAATAATTAGAACAAACTATGAAGGTATTGTGCATTTCTGTTTTATGTAGATAATAAAATATTACTTTAACATAAATATATAAGGATCTCTGCGTTTTTATTTTCCCCACAAGCACAACCAAATGTACCAAAACAAAGTATTTTTAAAGAGACTGAACAAAAAAATTACATCCCATATAGATTTTGCTTACCTACTCATTTAAAGCTACAGAAAAACAGTTTCCAGAACCTTTTTGCTTCAAAAGAAATAAATATACATTGAGGCAGGCCACTTAAAAATGATATGAAAATATTTCCCTGGGTAGCATTAAAAAAAAAAAAAAAGAAAAGAAAAATAGACAAAGAAACATTTAAACTATTTCTGCATTTCAAAAGACAGATATTAAACATATATACATAGTGGTAAGGTTCAGTGGTAACTTCCATCTTAGTAAACCTGAGAGTTAGAGGAGCTATAGACACATCCCCTGAACTCCAGCTTCCAACCTTACCTACTTGGTAATAAGTATCTGAAATTTCATTTCCTCCTTTTACCATTGGCTATTTGCCCTGCTCTGGATTGCTTCACTAAAGACCAGTCCCCACACCTCAGGAACAAGAAGCGTGATGCACCCTGAAGCAGCTCCGTGACCATTTCCTTGTGACATTCATTGGGGGAAATGAAATACAGGCAAATAAATATGCCCATTATAAGTCACCATTTATCTTGCAAAAACATTGAAAATGAAACAATCACATGTGTTTGAAAAGACAATATAAAGCATATTTCCTAAAACCTTAACTACTGAGTGCAATGCTAATCTGATGCTGAACCATAATTTTATGGTAATAAGAATTTAATTTTTTAAAATAAAAATTTATCTAATTCCTAACCAGAAAAAAGCCCCCAAACTTTTAAGATTAATAAAAAGTGTTTTCCCTTTTAGCGCCCTTTTGTGCTGATTATTTTTAAAATTTGAACTGATCACAGTTTAAAGGTATTTCTTTTCAATAGAGCTAAGTTTTTCACCTACACTTCCCAGTAGAGTCTTTTGTGTTGGTAGTTAACCGTTTTCCATCAAGATAAGGTCAAAAATGCACTTAGAACTATTAACAAAGGGGAGAAAGGAAGGATTAAAATTGGCATTTTTTTTTTCACTTCATTTGGCTTCCTTAGTGAAAGAGGGGGGAAAAGCTTTCCAAACCAAACTGGTATTTTCTGTAATAAATTATGGGAGAAGAGGGTGTGGAACCCTAAATATGACTCGATAAACAAAATGAGCCAGTGAAAACAAAACCAGTCTACCAAGTGGAGATATTCTATGTATGCATGTGGGTATTTGTGTGCTACGAAACATAGTTTATGCATACACCATTAAGTTCCTGGGTTATTTTATGTTAGAAAAAAATAAAAAACAATTAGAAGACCAAAGTTTAACCATTGCTATCTGCACAAATAATTCCTTATAATTAAGTTATTAAGACTGAAGACAGAGAACTATACAGGAATATCTGAAGACATATTTCCTAGTTCTCTTCAAAGTGCCACTTTCTGTTGGACAACTCAAAATATATTTAACCTCCATATTTCCTCTAAGCTCTTTCACAATGGGCCCGCCTGATAAAATGAAGCAATCGGTCACTCACTATCGATTTTTCTTTTTCTCCCCTCCATAACCTCCCCCAGAAACACTGCCTGAAAAATGAAGTTTACTTTGTGGCTGGTCACAAAAACTACTGCTTGACTCTTATTTTTATATTCCAAACTGGATTCTTGCCTTGGATAAAGCGGGTAGACCATGAGCATTTCCTGAAAGCAGAGAATTATTTATTTTGTATGCAGCCAATCGTTTTACTTTGGTAAAAGTAGCAAGTAAATGTTACACCAATATAAGGAGGACCTGAAGATAACCGAAATTCACAAAAGATAAGAACAATGGGCAACACAAAAACATTAGAAATGGGGAGCGGCCAAAAGCTGGCCTCAACTCTCTCCGCTGAATAAAGCAAACCAAAACAAAGCCAAAAATAGCAATCCCAGAATTAACGGTGGGGAGAAAGAGAAAAATATGTTTACGAATTTGTTCGTGTAAACTTCAATTTTCTTGCAGTGCAAATTTATGTGGTTAAATTTTGCCTATATCAAAGAGCGTGTGTATTTTTTCCTCCTTCCTGATGGGGATCCACATTAAGTAAACACAGCAGCATGTGCCAACTCCGAGCATCAGGAAGCTGCGTTTTGTGTTTACCACGGTTTGGTGGATTTTTTTTTTCTTTTTGGTCATTTATTTAGTTTTGCCAGGTATTTATTTCAGTGCTTGGCATCTCTCTCGCGCGCTCTCTCTCTATCACACACTCTTTCCTCACTCTCTCTAGGAGACACTCCACTCCATTGCCTGGGTACTCGCCTGCAAAGGTCAAAACACATCATTACACCTGCTACCATTGAAAGGATAGTCCAGTGTCTTAGTCGCTTTCCTTTTCCCGTAATTTTTTTTCTTTATAAGGGACGGGGAAATAATAATTAAAAATAAAGAACAATCAGAAGTTAGAGAGGGAACAAGGGGGCCCGGAAGGGGCCAGGGACCGAAGGGGAGGGGGAGCCCAGCGCTCTGCCCCTCCCCCCGCTCGAGTTCACTGGACGGGCGTCTGCACCCCGTGGTGTGGTGGCGTGTCCCTACTCCCCCCGTACACATCCTCGGCGCCCGGCAGAGTCCCTCCGGGAGGGGTCATCCTTTTCTCTTTCTGTCTCCTGTTACAAAACCAAACTCTCACCACCTCCTTCTCCAGCTGTAAGCTGTCCGCGAGGGAGGTGATCTCCTGGGCCGAGGGCTTGGGGCATTTGAGGAAATGGCTCTCCAGAGCCCCCTTGACGCTCACCTCGATGGAGGTCCGCTTTTTCCGCTTGCGCCCCTGCGCTGCGATCTTGTCTATGCTCGTGGGGCTGCCCGAGGACGAGTCCGCTTCCTCCAACCACTTGTTCAACAAAGGCTTCAGCTTGCACATGTTCTTGAAGCTCAGTTGCAGGGCCTCAAACCTGCAGATGGTGGTCTGCGAGAACACGTTGCCGTACAGGGTGCCCAGCGCCAGCCCCACGTCCGCTTGAGTAAATCCCAGTTTGATCCGCCGCTGCTTGAACTGCTTGGCGAACTGCTCCAGGTCGTCCGAGGTCGGCGTGTCCTCGTCAGAGTGCGGGTCGTGATGCGCGCCTGGGTGGCCCGGCGGGCCCTGCGGGGGCGGCGGCGGCGGCGGCTGCTGGTGCGGGTGCGAGTGTGGATGAGGGTGGTGGTCGGCATGGTGCGGCTCGTCGTGTGCGTCCCGCAGGCCGTGGG